ACCAATCTTCTCTTGGTACTCTTGATACCTTGCTTGTCGAGAGATTGCGTATCTTGAAATAAGTTGTTTTGAAATAATATTTATTATAACAGTAGCTCTTAAATTTGCTTAATGCTCTGAATTTCCAAATTAATTATTTCACGGTGTACGAGTCTTATCTATTTTACTTTAGAATTCGGTCACTTCAGTTACAAAACTTTCATCAAACAATACCTATCTCTGTTAAACTATTTTATTTTTAAATTAGTATTTCAAAATTTTATTACATTAGTGAAAAATATTCTCTGGAAAGCGGTTACTTCAAAATTTCAATATTTCCATTTAGAAAGCCATAATTTGAATAAAATCACTGTTTATTTTTTTTCTTCAAATTAACTTCTCAGGTTTATTTTTGTATATTTTTCAATGGTCTATTTCATTAGTGTCGTGTATATATTTTTTTTTTTTTTCTTAAAACAAAATATATTCTCTGGAAAGTGATTATTTAAAAACTTCAATGTTTCCATCCCAAAAAGCCACAATTCGAATAAAATTACCGTTTTTCTTTCTTTTCTCGAATTAACCTTCTCAGGCTTGTTTTCGTATATTTTCGAATGGCCTGTTGCCTTAGGTCCACGTGTATTTAATTTTTTCCCTCTTCTAGATCTAAACTTCTGTTTTTAATAGTAAAGTCGGACAACCACTGGCGCGCGTTCTGAATGAACTCATTATGCATAGTCCCACGAGCCCATACACCATTTCAATTCAACAGTGCTGTCTATTCACGATATACTACAGCGTCTGAACTCGATTCTAAAAGCCAAAAGGGCGAGTTAAGGGCGACTTAAGGGCGAGGTACGTCGAAATAACAAATGAAAGAATTCCGTCTCCAAGAACAGAGATCATCAACTTATCGTACACTTCTTTCAAAAATAACCAATTCTTTTATCACCTTAAAAAGAAAAAATTTTTCCGTTTGTACTTCTTTCCCAAGGTTTCATCCAATCTAACCTCAAAAAAGATATTCTCTGCGTAGTAATGATTTAAAAATTTCAATTTTTCTGTTTAAAAGGCTGTAATTTGAATAAAAATAATGTTTAATTTTTTTTTCGAATTAAACTTTTCAAACTTTTATTCTATCATCTTGATGTACGCTTTTTTATATTCTTATCTAATTAGAATTGAACTTCTTTGAATGTAATCTTTAACAGTATTGTAATAATATTGCAGTTAATTTTATTTGCCATCGAAATATGATTTTAAGTAAACACACTATCTTCAATATTTGATAAAAATTCCTGAGGAATTTATGTTTAAATAAATTGTTTATTCATTCAGAGACGAATATATTTTTTATAAAATTCTATTTCTAAATATTGTGATTTCAGTATTGCTTTGTTTAGAATAAAAATATCAGAATGGTGTGTGAACCGATTAAATTGAGGATCTCTGTTAGATTCACCACGGTTGCTCGTACAGGAAGCTGAAATACTGATAGACGGGACACGATTTCAAGATTTTTGACAGGGGCGCACGTGTAGATCCAAACCAGACACTACGATAATAAACTACAAACACTATTTTTATAAGGGAGCCACGTCGCATATGTATCGACCGAGACAAAATACCATGGGAACATTTTTATTTTTTTCTCGAGCAGCCCTTTCTGATTTCACCCCTTAAGAAGCATGAAATCGGACAAAAATGTTGAAAGCTACCAATTCTTTTTTTCAACAAAATTAATTTAGCGTAGTACAATTATAAAATAATATTTCTTAAAGAATA